GGAGCCGACGCTGCCTCCGGCTCCGCTGCTGCGCGGGAGTACCGTGGGGTTAATTTGCCAGCCAGCAATTTATACGGCACTTTTCGTTTGCAGCGCAGCCGATGAGCCGCGCTCCGAGGTCTCACATCCAGATTAACAGCATTCACACGGTGCAGGCTCCTCCGGCTCCCACTCACCCGCACGCCGCGCCGCGTGCTCTCCTGGCAGAGCTTTTTGACCTCTGCAGGCTGGGGAGGAGGGATGTCCCACAAGACACCTTTCCACGTAGCCTTCAGCACAAAAGGGTTTGGAAACTCCTCGACGAAGGCAGCACTGAGCCGCCGCAGAAATCCCGGATCTCAACCCCATCTCTGAACCACACACTTATGCAGAGCTTTCAGACCTGTGGGAACTAAACGGAGACCGCAACGCTCAGAAGGCTTCTCCGTTTGCCTCCCAGGACACTCCTGCTTCTTTACGGTTGCCTTAATTAAGATCTTGCTCTGTGCTTTCCCACAGGCAGGGCACAACCCTGATGGAAGGGAACACCAAACTCTTCCTCCAGCACCATCTCACGGGAGCAGAGCCTGGGCAGGAGCTCCGCCACGGCCAGGCTGGAGACTGCAGGGCCCCAGCACGTACAGCATCCCCTGCAGCCAGTTCCCAACCTGACGCCTGGTTTTTGTCTTCTCTTCCCTCGACAGCGGTTCTCCAGGATGAGATTTGCTGACTTTGCCAATGGCCAGAAGAAAAGCCCCCACCTCCCGTCGCAGGGGATGCCATGCACAGCAGGGCCATCACGCATGCACCCAGGCCACGGGCAGAGGCAAACAGGGACTCACCGCTGCCAACGCACCACACCAGTGAGGCAGACGGCTCATCCCAGGGACCAGGCTGACGGACCTGGGAGCTGCACCCAAAACCCCGTCCCTGGTCACACAGGGCCCTTCTGCAGCACAGCAGAGCTGCTCTCGCAAAGCGACCGATGCTTTTCAGCCACGTACGGCCAGGCTCATCACGTGCGTTGGGCTTTATCCCGCACTGCACCATCGGTGCAGAATCGCCCTGGCAGCAACAGAAAAGGTCTCTTGGTGCATGGTCAGCTCCAGCAAGGAGAGCTGCTCCAGGGAACATCACACTGAGCAGAGCATCCAAGAGCTGTTTTTACACCAGCGACGCTACCAGGGGACACCAAAGAGGAATCCTTTTGCTTACTTTCCTGCTAGCCTCTTTGCTCCTGTGATCTTCCAGTGCTCTGGAAATAAAAGCACGGAAACAAAGGCAAGAACACTGAGATGCCACAGCACGCCTTCACGTGAGCATGTGGCGGCGGGGGCATGGCACCACAGCATCGGCACAAAACACCCAGGTTTCCTTTCACCCAGCAGATGACGACCCCCGAGGTACCATCAGAGACAAGAAAAACTCTTCGCTGGGATAAAGCAAGCTGCAGAGGGTTATTGACATCTGCTTATGACTGCTAAGCAGCTTTAAACAGTTACAGTGAGAATTCAAACGAAAGGGAGGAAAGCCAGACTGGAGACCTCATTTACCCTCTACAGCACCAGGTACACCACACTCTGCAGCCCTCCAGAGCTACCTGGGGTGGCTTTTAAAAGTCTTCTCTAAAAAAAAAAAAAAAATATTTATTTTAGAGCTTCATTGGGGAGTCAGAACCCCCCGGCAGCAGCAGCTGCCTGTCTTTTGTCAGCTGGAAAGCCACCCAGCTCAACGCCCAGGCTCAGCGCTTTGACATGAGAGGCAGGACGGACGGACATCGCCGCTGGGAATTCAGAAAGGATCCTGACTCACCCGCCTCTCCGCTCCTAATCCCCGTCCCCAAGCAGCGCTACACCTGACAGCAGCCCTGCTCCTCCTCGCCGTCTCGCTTACCCGGGCAGCTGTCCCCGGCCCCACGCGCCAGCCACAGCCGAATTCCCGCTCCGGCCAGGAATAGGATAAGGGAAAAGGGACGTAATGAGCCTACGATATCTGCCAAGACGGCTGTGCGTGGGGCTCCAAAAGCCAGGCATTTCATCTTGTGCTGTAACACGCTGCCTGGGACGCTCCCAGAGCTCCCTGGACCCGGGTGGGAAAAGACGCCCACCTCCAAATACACACGCGCACACAGGGCTCGCGGTGGGCGAACCAGCCAGCAACGCGCCCGCGGCTCCCGGCGCAGAGATACCATCACGGGTACTTACCCGGTCGCTTTAAAGCCACTTTGAAGGGCCATTCGAGCAGCAACTCGTGAGCCGCGCCGCCAGTATCGACACGCTTTCGCAGCCAGAAGTTTTACAAAACCGAGCCCTGGGAGGGAGCAGGGTGGAGGGAACCTGACGCCGAGGAAGCTGCCAGCCGAAAGCTGCAAGGAGCAGCGAAGCTAAAGGCAAAGCTGGTAAATTAATTGAGTTCTTTTATGCAAAGTGCAAGAGATTATTCTCATTGCATTTCTCCCAACTTCATTAAAGAGAACAAAAGCCCATGGGCTTTTTTTTTCTTTATAAGGTGCTGTTGAACATTTCCGAGGTAAGGGTTTAAATGAAGACTAATATGTTACTGTTCGGCATGTAACAACAACGGAAGCGCAGGGGATCCCCAGGCGAGCATTAGTCTGGGCACCAAAAGGAACGCAAAACTTAGCGAGCAACTGCAGGCATCCTGACAACCGGCACTTCAGACCCACGCAACCCAGGGGCCAAGCGGGAACAAGCAGCAGGAAACTGAACTTCTAGAGAAGCTCCTGCCACATCCACCACCAGCCCCCGAGAAGAACAGAAACAAGATTGTTCATTTAATCATCCTCAATGTTGAGCACCTCAGACACGGGCGCCTCATTTGAAACACTGAAATGAAGCTTAGGGGCTATGAAACACCTCTCGTCTATCACCATAAAATTACTCCAGCCTGTGTCTGGCTCTTGAACACCAGCTCTGAGCCGGCAGCGTGATTTGTAAGATATAAATCCACCTGGAGCACGAGCTTATAACTTACGGTAAAATCACAGACATCAAGAAAACTGTGATGTATTTCAGCAAGAAGAGATGTCTGCAAAAGGTTTATCTGACTTCATTGTGGGGATTTTTTTAATTAGAAAAAGACAAGCTTTTGCAAATTGCTTCCCTTGCCCAGATTTCGGCGTCTGTTTCGCAGCCTGCCTGCTGCAGCACTTCCACATTTTCCGCGGACTTCCCCGGGGCTGAAGGCATCGCAGGGGGCCAGGGACAGCAAAGCAGAAGTGGTCTCTGCTTCGCTCCCTGCAGTTTTTCAGTTGTGGCTGTAAAACAGCAGCACCTCGGCAGTCCTTGGGAAATCACACACCCCTTTTCCTACGGCAGCTGTCACAACCCGAGAAGCAATCGCCAAAAACCTTGACAGCAGGGAAAAAAAACTCGGGATGTTCTGCATGACCTTACCGATTTCAGCAGCAACCCTCTCAGCACAGTCTGCAAAAGAGCAGACAGAGAAGATGCGTTTTACGGATGGGCAGGAGCCCGCAACAACCCGGGTCCTCCTCTGAGAGCAAGGGAAGCTCTCAGGTGGGTCAGGGAGAATGGAGGACCGAGAGGAAGAAAACTCCAGGAGAAGAAAAACAAGGTTAAGGGCAAGTTTGAAAGCATGAAAGGAACAGAAAGCTGGTGTGGCGGCGAGCTCCGGGGCAGCAGGAGCAGGAGGACCTTCCATGCTGGAAGCACAGCTCCTGTCCCGGGGAGGTGACCACCACTGCCCCGGGCAGGAGGCCAGCAACGCCGGCACCCTGGGGCTTGCAGGAATCCGAAAAGGCAGAGCAGTACTTTGTGCCTCTGGGCTGACGCAAGCGTCTCCACCCCTTCGTCTGGAAGGACACCTCCAATTAACTGAAACTTCGGATCACAAAAGCCAACGGCTCAGACGGGTGAGGTCACAGCCTCCAGAGCCAAGCTTTCTGCTGGGCGAGGGACTCGGCCACGTTGTGCTCTGACCAAGCTTGGTCGCACATCACCCACACCCAGCGAAGGCAAGGCCAGCGCAGAGAAGAGACCCCAACCACAGCACTCCGCAGAAGGCACCTTCTCAGTCCCAAACTCAACAAATCTCGTCTAGATAAGGATCCGTGGCCGTGTCAATCACTGCCCCGCACAACTCCCAGACCTACTGTGGTTGAACTCCCAAGTCATGCCAGACAACCTGGGCAGAGCCACGTACGGCATCGCCACACAG